ACTCTCCAAAATCTTTTTTACTTATTAAAATCTTCCTCAAGAAAGTATTGAAGTTTTCCAGAAGAAGGTTAATTTAGAGGAAGACAGTGAAGCCGGCGAATGGCAGTCTGACTGCGCCGAGCCGCCTACATATCGTGGATTGACATGGTCGCCACGAACCAGTTCGGACATCGCCAGGGTTACAGCGGCTTTCGCCAATTCTTCTGCCACCGGTAACTTCCATAAATTCCACAATTGAAAGAAATGACATCGATCCATGTGTGAGGTTTAATCCAGTAGATCTTCTCAAATATATTGTTCGTAATTATGAAGATGTAGCTGAAGCTTTGACAACGTTCACGTCTGATATAACACTATTGATTTATGTATTTATAAGAGGAGGAGGCAACCTTACGAAAATCATTGGTTGTGTTACGGGACCAAGGAGGGAGAGATTAGTGGCCTTGCAGCGAAAACTGAACATTGAGGATAAAGAAAGAAACGATAGGAACAATAGTCTCATCGTTACTTTACCAAGAATTGCGGAGACGTTTCCTTTTGTTACTTTGACAGTGGTTATGCTGCTCCCTTCAGAAGCAGGTCTCTCCATTTGTAGTGAAAATTATCTACCAGTCTGGAGCTCTTGCCCAGGAATATTGAGCCTGCTTCCGCGAGGCCCAGACTTTGCAATTTGGAAGGAAATAATATTTACAGCAGCATTCATCTATAATTTCAAGTTCCTAGAATTGCTTCATCATTCAAATCCTTCTCTACCATATCCTGACCTACAAGGAATTTACAGTGATTTGCAAGCCTCATGGGACACAGAATATATTCCCGACTTGATTAGGTTCAAATGCTTATACAAAGCAGGAGTTGTAAGAAAAGACAGGGAAGAAAACCAATTGCCGTTCACCACTTATCAAAAAATTGGCGGGACTTATTATTTGAGTGGCTTGTTTGACCACCGCATAATGCTTACTCAATTTGTACGAAAGCATAAGGAAGCAGGGTCCTTCCTCCGAAAGCGCGTGTCTAGGATCCTCACTGAAATCAAGCTTGAACCTACTTTAGAGGCTCAGCTTGTTCAAGGCATTCAACAGATTGAAGACCAGATGCCGAAAAAAAGTTATATCTATCAAATCATGCCGTCCGAAGGCGATGCAAATGCATCGATAAGGAAAATAAACGAGACCGGGAGGGTTTTTGACCCAGAATAACATGGGACTTATGCGCTGCTATGCAGATATATGAATATCTTCTTTACCAATATGATTCTATTTCTATTACTGCATTATTAACATAAAGTTTTAGCATTTCGTTGAAAACATGTTACCATTTGCTCTTGACATGTTGTGTCATTCTTTGTATTTTGTTTTCCGTGTACGTTATGTAAAATGAACATTAGTTATTGACACTGTGCTTTTGTACATTGTGGTTGCTCTTGGTTTTATCAACAGTTTAACTCACGGCTCACGATTTCATCGCTCAAACTGCTACAAGAACGAATATAATAGAAATTAAGGAAATTATAATTATTTTACCGAGGATAGCGAAATCGTAAATAAGACTAGGTTGCCCTGTCCGATATTGAAGCAAGGGATAAGTTTTACTCCTGTGAAAATTGTAACGGCTTTCTGTACAGCTTATTGAAGCATTCAAGTGATGTTCGTTCTGAACAGTTGTCATTCTTAAAAGCATGAACTTTGTCTATTTCCATAGTGGAGTGTGATTGTACAAATTAGTTAGGCACAAATAAAATTTTTTCCCTTTCCTGGTCGATTAGTGGGCACACCTGTACCGACAACTCGGCCTACTTTGTGTAAGAAAGACAAGAAAGAGAGTACTTCGGGCTTTTCCCAACATGAAGACCTGCCTCGTGATGACAATGCTGCTGGCTGACTGAGCAAGTACTAGAACTGTAGCCAATCTTAATGGAATGCCAAATTGTCCCATATTATTATTGGAAATATACATAATGATTTACATAGTCCAAGAATGTTTCTGTAATATACCTCAGCAATCGGCACTTACTTACTGTTCGTTATATCATAGGATAATTTCATAACGTTCTCCATACTTCGTATATCGATAGCCTTACTCATTCTCGTAAAAAAGTCAGCGATATTTACAAGAAAATTACTCATTAGTCTAATAAGATGCAATGGAAATGGCCGAAATGGGCCGTCAGTGTGAGGAACTAAGAAGGATACAGTGTCAATTACAGCGGAATCTGAAATGTTCCGCCATCATCGAAAATGTCCCCTGAAATGTTTTTCCATATTTTTGCAATCATAAGTTGTCTTTAAGAGAGATATGCGCAAATCGTGTGTATATGCAAGATTCTGTCGCTAGGCGTTTAAGATAAGTTCACGACAGCTAAAAAACTGGGTCTGTGGAATCCTTCCAGTCGAGATGATGATGACTGATGTAGTTCAATCCTAAAAGTCTTTCCGCATCCACACTTAGCCAATTTGAAAATTCTGCCATAATTTTACCGTAATCAATTGATAAATAGATTTGTTCGTGCAATCGGCCGCCACTGTTTAAACTAAAAACAAGAATTCTTCTTTTTGCATAATCGCTTGGAAGCGGTAATATGATGAGACAACTACTCAGTGATGTTGAGTGAGGTGAAAGCTTTTGCGTCAGGCGGGACTGAAACTCTCATCTAAACCTATCCGGCGGCTACTGCTCTATCCCTCGCACCACCAAAGCCCGTTTTACTGTCACTTTCTACGCTACAACGCATCAGTCTGTCAGTAACCAAACGTTAACGGTTTGATATGGTGATCGATATGGACAATTAACCTATTCGAGCCAACAGATGCTAGATATATATGTTAAAGAGAAGGAGTCCTTTTTTGATTCAACAGCTCCTAGCGGTAGTATAATGCCACAGATATACGCAATGATCTGTCATGTTAGTGTCGATGTCGACTCCCAGACCAAACCGTTGACTACTGATTGCCAGGTGTTGTAGCGTGGAAAAAGTGGCGGCAAAACTTGCTACGTTGGTGCAACAGGATCGAGCGCGGGCACCTTGGAAAGGATCCAAAGCGGGTTCGAGTCCCGCTTGACACATGTGTTTTGTACAACAGTCAGCGTCATTGGGTATATCGATTGGAGTCGTTATGGTATAAAGCTTGGCGCCGTTCATTGTTCTTCCAATAAAACTAGTTTTAATGAAATGAAATAGAAAAGTTTTGTTGTTATCCTCGTCGCTTGACTTACTTACGAACATGCCCCAATGTTATCAACTCCAATAATTCTCCTTACCAATGTTGTGATAATGTTGCTTTTCCATTTAAATAATGAGCATTCCTCCCAGATGGCTGCCGACTCATCCTGAGAGATGTTTCTGGGTGTCAGACTGCAAAGAGGGACGGGTGTTCATCCTCCTAGTACGGCCACTCAAGCCTAGAATTAGTTCGACGTCTTCACCTACAAAGTTCGGCTAGGAGTAAACCGTACTAGGAATGATCACCATCTTAATAGCTTCTAGTTGCAAGGTGGTAATCTCCTCCTGACCCACAAAGGGCGACGATAGCTTCAGTGTGGTGACGACCTAAGAAAGCACGGGCTTAGATTATCTCGTAACTTCAGGGAACAAAACGGCTAAACCAGCACATTTTCATGTGCACAAATCCTCAATATACTAAGTGTTTGATTCATCTCTTCGCTTAATTGAAGATCCCTCTTCTATATGAAAATGATTGAATACTGGTTGGGCAACTGTGCTTGCTCTCTCTATAATAGTTTAGCTGCGACGTTCGTTCATTGGTTGCCGATGAGCTCTGGGGTGATCAAATCCCTACCAAGCATCACCATCACTAACCGCTCGGCCACCACCACATTTCCACTCAGAAACTAAGAACGTATCGCTATAATTCGCGAGATAATTTGGAAGAATAGTTGAATACAAAGCGATTTCTATGATGGCCTTCTGGCTGTTTTTTTTTGGGCTTACTACGCCAAATCATATCTTTCAGGATTACTTCGTGAAGTGCTAAGTTTTGAATATTACATGAACTTTTGTAAGAGCCGCAGCGACTCCTCTACCGATTTGTTAGTGCTTCTTTGGCCTCTGAGCGCCACTAGGTCAACCATATCGGTCGTTTCAGGGGGCGGTCATAGAGTTAAGAATTGGCAACAAGCCAATAGATTAGTTTACACGGTAGGAACCGAGGTCGGAATGGACAAACGTTGCGGTTTGCGCGGGAAATTATATCAGAGCGAGGGACGATGGCCAGTTACCGGCGCATTTCTCTTTTGCCGTTCTAAGCGGTCGCTTCGTCATGAGATGCGTTGTTCAGTAGACTGATCGCATATATTGCGTAGCCTTGAGTTAGATGCTGCTCGGAGCTCTTACGACTGGCGCCCTGCCCTTACCCGTCGCGTCGATATTGCCACTATGGATCTGTATTGTGTCACTAAAGCAGTGATTTTAAGATTTAATGGTGCTCGTGACACCATCATCGCGACTTTCTATGTCGTAGACAAGATGAACCCAATCCCCTATGTGGGTCCGAGATAAATGCGGAAGTGTCGGAAACCATGACGTTAGTGTGGGATACCAAAGCGGATTCAGTGCTAATTGCAATAGTACATAAAATGGGACTCTTTTTACTTACCCACTTTTAGCGGTGGTATGATAATTTAGGTATACTCAATGATACTGACTAGTGTACAGAACATTTGCGTCGGCGGTACTCCAACCCGCATTTCGCCCTATCTGGAGGTTACTCTAACCCTTTGCACTACCGACGCCTGTTCTGCCGTCACTCTTTCTCTGCTACATCATATCTATTTGTCAGCAACCAACCGACAGCGGTTTGGTATGGACAGTAGGTGTCGACATTGAACACAGTCACACTGGCAGATTTTGGGTATCGGATGATCAAATAGAACTCCTTTTATTTAACCGCTTTTGGCGGTTTTACGATTTTGACTGCTTAGAATAAACTGTGGACGGTTGGCTGCTGACGGATTACAGAGTAGAAAGAGTGGCAGCAAAACAGGCGTCGGTAGTGCAAAGGGTTAGAGCACGAGTTCCCGGGTAATGTAAAATGCGGGTTTGAGTCCCGTCTGGCGCAAAGGTCTTGCACATCACTCAGCATCGCTGGCTACAATTGCAACGTAAAATGTTCTACTCTTGTTTGAATGTCTGCTAAAGTGTTTTCCCCTTTTTTGAATTCTGAGGTGTCTTTTGAATGATGTGAGCGCGGGTTGTGTGTATGTGCAAAATTCTGTTGTTAGAAGAAGTCTGAAAGCTTTTCATACCCACTTCGAGAAAGTAATGACTTTGAATTTTTTTCGTTGAGGTGATGACGACTTCGTGTCATCTTAGGTGTCCTTATGCATCTGCTGTTGGCCAAACTATTAACTCTGCCTTAATTTTGCAATAACCTCCAGCAGGTCAATTCATTAATGAAATATCCTAGCATTGTTGAAACTCTTATTACGGTATGAAACTCGACGCCGTTCACTGCTTGCCCAATAAACCAGCGTTAACCCTTTACGAAGCATGAGTTTCATTTTGTTGCTAACCGCGATGCAACCTAATGACGAAGCGGCCGCTCACGATGGCAGACGAATGATAAAAGGTGCTGCTGATGGACACTGTGATGATATTTCCCGCGCTGCCGCAACAGCGGCATGGTCTTACAGCGCAAACTGATTTATTGGCTCGTTGTCAGTTCTCGATTCAATACTCTGCCTGAAACGGTCAATATGGTTGGTCTTGAACAGCCTAGAGGCTACAGGAACAGTGACAGGTCGTGGAAGAATTGCTGTGGCTCTTACAGAAGTTCATGAAGTCTTTAGAATTCGGGACTATGTTAAAACAATTTGTAAAAGATGTGATTTAGACGCAATAAACCTAGAACAAAAGCCAAAAGGGCATCATAGAAACCGACCTGTATTCGGCCATCCATCCAGAACATCCTGGAAATCAAAGCGATACGCTTCCGACTTCTGAGTGAAAATTTGCCGCTACGGTGGCTGAATGGAAAGTGATGCTCGGCGCGGAGTTCATCACCCCCACTCTTTTTGACAATCGGGCGAAAGCCACAGCAGAACTATCTCCGATAACGCAAGCATATTTACCTGATCAGTCTTCTATGACGTTCATAAAGAAGACAATTTTTCATTCATGAAATAAATGCGAACAGACAAATTGAATGTTTGATGAGCTGTGATCCGTCCGGAAAAAATCTAATACGTATCTTTTTTATTAGGCCTTTTTTGATCCGTCTTTAGTGCTGATGCGAGCAGCAGAACAGCAAAACTGTGTTGAGCCTTTTGTTTCCTGAAATCCCTAGGTAAGCATAGCCGAAGTTTCCTGAGATCATTATGACATTAGAGCAGTCACCAGCCCTTGTGGATCGGAGGGAGATTGCCACCTCGCGGCCAGTAGTTACCACAACGGTGGTCTTTCCTGATACGATTCATTCCTGGCTAGACTATTCGGGTGATGATGTCGGATTCCTTTTAACTTGGATGACTCTGCTGGGAATTGAACCCCCGCTGTGTTTCGACTGCATTCAGGGACACCTCTCAGCCACTATGAAGGCAGTAAACGATGTGGGTGAGATGCTTGCCATGCTAGACAAAAAGAAAGTCCTTACAGTATTGGCAAGAAGAACTTGATGTTTGCTAACACTGAGGACATATTTGCAAATCAGTCTGCTGATAAACGTAACAACGGGATTTTGCCATTCCGCATCCTTTGAGGACCAGCTTTGGTAGATCAGGACAAACAACCGTTTAAAACAGCTCTCTGTGTTTTAGTTTTTTTTTTATTTTTTTAGTTTTAGCAGTTTTTTAGCTGTCGTGAACTTATCTTAAACGCCTAGCGACAGAATCTTGCATATACACACGATTTGCGCATATCTCTCTTAAAGACAACTTATGATTGCAAAAATATGGAAAAACATTTCAGGGGACATTTTCGATGATGGCGGAACATTTCAGATTCCGCTGTAATTGACACTGTATCCTTCTTAGTTCCTCACACTGACGGCCCATTTCGGCCCATTTCCATTGCATCTTATTAGACTAATGAGTAATTTTCTTGTAAATATCGCTGACTTTTTTTACGAGAATGAGTAAGGCTATCGATATACGAAGTATGGAGAACTTTATGAAATTATCCTATGATATAACGAACAGTAAGTAAGTGCCGATTGCTGAGGTATATTACAGAAACATTCTTGGACTATGTAAATCATTATGTATATTTTCAATAATAATATGGGACAATTTGGCATTCCATTAAGATTGGCTACAGTTCTAGTACTTGCTCAGTCAGCCAGCAGCATTGTCATCACGAGGCAGGTCTTCATGTTGGGAAAAGCCCGAAGTACTCTCTTTCTTGTCTTTCTTACACAAAGTAGGCTGAGTTGTCGGTACAGGTGTGCCCACTAATCGACCAGGAAAGGGAAAAGAATTTTATTTGTGCCTAACTAATTTGTACAATCACACTCCACTATGGAAATAGACAAAGTTCATGCTTTTAAGAATAAATTGACAACTGTTCAGAACGAACATCACTTGAATGCTTCAATAAGCTGTACAGAAAGCCGTTACAATTTTCACAGGAGTAAAACTTATCCCTTGCTTCAATATCGGACAGGGCAACCTAGTCTTATTTACGATTTCGCTATCCTCGGTAAAATAATTATAATTTCCTTAATTTCTATTAATTCGTTCTTGTAGCAGTTTGAGCGATGAAATCGTGAGCCGTGAGTTAAACTGTTGATAAAACCAAGAGCAACCACAATGTACAAAAGCACAGTATCAATAACTAATGTTCATTTTACATAACGTACACGGAAAACAAAATACAAAGAATGACACAACATGTCAAGAGCAAATGGTAACATGTTTTCAACGAAATGCTAAAACTTTATGTTGATAATGCAGTAATAGAAAAAAGCAATAATTTCTAATGACAAGAATTAATGTAGTACTAGTCTGAAATCCACTTTTCGTCGACTATGATAACCTTAGCTAGAATTGGAAGGCGAGAATGACGACAGAGCAGTTGTTGAGCAATGTCCTTGCGTTCGCGTGTCTGCGTGTTGTGGATCCATCGAACCGTCTTCCACTTATTGCCTGCTGCTTTCAGTACTCTACTGATTGTCGCATGACCGTGGTCAAAATCGTCGGCTAACTTCTTGATAGTCAAAGTCGGGCCGTCTTCATTTGCTTCGATAAAGGCCTCTCGATCAAAATCGCGTTTAAAGGTCAAGTGGGAATTACTAAAAAGTGATCATTTTACGATTGACGCATGCTAAACTATCCTTATTCGTGAGATATTGATTGATTGCAACAATTACAGGGAAAGATTTTTGAGCATCAGAATATACAACCAAGAACAAGTTCAACTTTCTTATTCCTCACATCAGACTTTAGATATCATCTCGCCGTCAGAGTAATAAGACGAAAAAAGTCAATAAATATTCTGTATTTGTAGACTTTCCACGAAGCTCTTAACGTTTCCTCACGAACCATACTACAATTTTGCAAGGGAGTTCTTTCCACTTACATTTTTGGACATCATTTTCAAAGCGGATGTGAAATAGGTCATTGCGCACATCGTATATGTTCATGCTGATTCGTCACCACTCTGAGTACCCGCACCTTAAGCTATATATCTCTCAGCAGTCAAGGATTGATAAGAAAATGCTTTTGGGAATTTGAACATTGAAAGATGGACGAAAAGCTGTGTGAGGACATGCTCTTCTCTCATCATTATCTAATCAGCTGTATCCTCCAGAAATGGTCGTAGCTCGATAATCGAATGAGTGCGATTTTGACGAACTTTCAAGGTTATCCTTATTACAATAAGCATTTTTCGTCTGAGGCAGTAGAAAACTTTTTCCTAAACGTTATTTACTGCAAAGCTTCGATCGGTTAGTAAAGTTAGCATATGGGATTTATCGAATTATAATCCATAGGCTTTCAAATGCAACTATTCATTTGTAGGCTTACAGATTTCGCAGTGCAAAAACAGAGAGAAGTCAAATAAATATGCAGTTTATTTCAAGTGGTTCAGAGTTGAAACAGCATTTGAGTTGACGGTCACCGCTGCAGAGAAGAAGTGTGATCCAAATGGACCTGATGCTAGCATTCGCATCGCTCTGTGCACCACACTGTGCCACATCGTTCTAGACCAATTCGTCATGATAAAGTTCGTGCTCTACAGAGAGCCAGTATAGTACTAGTATGCACAAAACAGAGAGTATTTCAAACCGTGAGACTTCCTGATATTGATTTACAGTTGGTAATAGCCTGTATATCCGTAGCCTTAGTTACATCACATTCTTTATCACCCTTCGTTGCAGCGCACAAAGCAATCACCGTGTTGCCAAAGATGATGCAGTGTGGCATATTTGTGACCATTTCAGCTGCAAGTAATTTCTTTGGTCAAGCGTTTACTTTCTTTTGTTTCTATTCATGAGTCTTTTTTCGTTTATAAAATCACACAATTTTATGAATGATTTCAAACATAATGTGTGCTTTCGCTGATAAAAGGATCGGAAGTATTTGCTAGGCCTTTTCGCTTTTCCATCGTTGCTCTGTTTTGTGGTAATATATACGATAAAAACGAACATTTACGCTCTCTTGTTTGATATGAATAAAAGAAATATAGCCCATTTTGTTGTGTAATTCAAAGATTTTCATTATTTTCTATTATGTGCATAAAAGCTTGTAATTTCACTTACTACTATTGGACACATAAACTGTATGCGCAAGTAACTAAAGTTTGTAAACGAAATGGCTATAGGTTATCGCAGTTATGTAGCAAAAGATCGATGTTTTTGAATATCAGATTACCACCGTTTCGTGGCATTGAGAATGCTTCAAAAAAACTTTGGCAGTCTTACCCACTGCTACAGCCTTGATTTTTCGATAGAATTTACGTTATTATAATCGCCTTTTTGGGAGTGTTGCAACTATATCAAAATCATTTTCTGCCTTTTATTTACGCTGTTTTGCCCTGGATAACTGGCACAATGAGAAGTGATTGAAGGCCTAAACTGGTCTGGTCGTTAGTTGTCCATTAAATTATTTTTACATGATCTGACAT